TTGGAGTGCTGTGTGTTTGTGCCGCTGAGATTTAAGAGCTATTAATTACATCAAACCACTTTTGAGGAAACTTTTTCTTCAGATAAAAACTTATTAGAGAAATTTGGAGGTGAAACGTCTTCGTCCCCACCATCCAGAAGAGCTTAAATTTAACTAAGAACAAAGAGTTGGAAGACAAAGGTGACTCTCATCGTTTGAACGGTTCTCAAAATGCCATGGCTCGCCTTGAGTATAGAAAAATCATCACTGTTTTGTTCTTATTGCTTGCTTTTTGGTGGTAAAAAAGTGGAAGAAACCTAAGCCCCACCCAAATCTTGGTCCACCCACCGCCATTGGATAATACATTTAAATTTGTTCTAATCTGCTCACAGAGAGAAAGTCTTAAGAGAGCAACTTCAGCCCGAAAACTTTCTTTGTGAAGCTAGCGGTTGAGAAGTGACAAATTGTAATCGTTTATATGAGTTTTCGTGTCTTAAGATTAGATTATAATCACGAATTTATACATCGTTGGATAACGGTGGGGTCCGCATAAACCGAAATCTGCGGGGCCGCTGAATTTTCTTTCCTTTAGAATGGTTATTCGGATAGAAGAAACAGAAATCGGTAATTAAATTCTATTTCGAGTTAGTGCTAGTTTTGGATTAACCATGTTCGGTTTAAACGGACTCCATTGTATTTCTCCGTCTGTCTTTCTCAGAGCAAGGCTGAAAAACGTTTCGAGCGTCAAACAGCGAAAAGCCACCAGTCGTTATACAGGAAACCAAACGTAAGTGATGACAATTGGCTAGCCTGGTAAATGTAGTGTGGTTCTTGATTGTGCAAAATGTTAAAATAAAGTGAATAATATAAAAATGTTCGATGAAATAATCATTTATTATAGAGAAACAAGGAAAGAAAGAAATGAGATACTATTGATATTTTAGCTGAATGTGATTAGTTCAGAAGGCTCTGTGGGATTAGATGAGTAGGCTATTTTGCTTCTATTTACTTTGTGGTCTTAATTGTTACAATGTTTGCCTGAAAAGGAGAAAAGAGGCGTTTTAATCAATTTGAGGGGAGAAGACGGGGATTATTATCCCTATGTATATATAATATTGTTGACTATTTTACTTTTTTTTAAAGTGAGATTTATAACACATCTGCAGGTGTGTGCTTTTGTTTGTGGAAGCCTGTTTATATGTATGCGTGCGTATGTATATGTGTCCGAATGCGCTTGTGTGTATGTGGGGGTGGGGGGCGGAGGAGGA